AGATAAACGAATATCTCTTTATTATGACTAAAGAGATATTTGGATGGAAACATTAAAGTAATGACTTTAGTGTGTTCCATTATGAATGCAAGATATATTGCCATATAGAAGTTTACAACAATGTTGTTTGGATGGGAAAGTTCATTTATGAACTCTCTATTCGGTTCCAACCAGAAAGTGTATGACACTAATGGGGCGATAGCTCAAGCCTGGGAATCAAGGTCTCATCAAGATCCGAACTCAAATGAGAGACTGAACCACATGATTGAGAATCATGTATAATGGTGACGTCGTTATTCTCAAGGTTGCTTCTATGGATAACACATATAGATATCCACTGTCTAGGCCTACTATTCAGCCATTTATGAAATGACTACAGAAGAGGTATCATACTGATGACCAAGCTGATTGGCTCTAGTGCAAGTGGGAGATTGTTGGAAATGTGCCCTAAAGCCAATCATGTGATGATACTTTACGGACATTTCACATGTTAAACTAATCTAGTTTTACATATAAAGGGCAAAGATTATTGTTTGAGCCGTCTCATATAAATGTTATATGCTTAAACGATAAAGTCCAAGGAATATGTGATTGGGAGAATGTAATCTAATGAAGTTAGATTCATGAGACCATTCTTTCGTAGACACATCCTAAATGTTCCTGATCATAGGATTGCCAATTGGGCATTGACAGTCCGTTAAGATCAGTACGTACTATGTCTTCTCTCAGGGAGAGTGATTAGTCTCGAGTCATTGGTGTGTGTGACATCAAGACAAGTACGTAGGTGCTCAATAGAGAATGAGTTCACTGAACGTGATCAACGAAGAGTTCTCATATTCCATGTCACATGAGAACTCATGGTTGGGATAATGCAAAGTAGTCCTTTGACCTGAGGCATCACAGTTGTCTTGTGGTTAAGTCCTTGATCTTTGATTATGTCAAAGTCACCCCCTCGGGGTGTCCACGGCATCGTTGGGGTTCAAGCCACTTAGCTATGGAGACAAGTGAATGCGCAACAAGGGATCTCTAACCTTCAAACAGTTTGAGGGAGAATACTCTATGATATGATTTAGAATCTCTGGCCAGAGTATGAATGAGATTAGGGAATGCGTTCCAAATCACATTCAAGTAAATCATATAAGCACAAGATTCACATTGGATAGTAGACATGAACAAATAAACTATCAAACCAAACAATGTGGTCAAGAGTATTAGATTAGAGAAAGACCGTATTGCATTTGTAATCCCGAACTGAATAGGTTCTCTAACCTCTTCTGATTAGCTTGGGTAACCATGATATGCTGCTAGGTGTCACTCATGGTTTGTGGAAGCCCTAAACGTGTGTAATCACTAAAGGGAGAATTGAAAATAGTTTCAATTCACAATCGATGTAAAATGGTTTTAATCGCCCACTACCTCGCTAAAAGGAACCTAATGGATCGCACACCATAAAAGGTAGAGATTGGAGATTAAACGGAAATGAGTAAGAATGATTAAATGGTTTAATCATTTATTTATGGCAAGGATTAATTAATATGTTAATTAATCAAACGAATAAGTTCGTTAAAGACTTCGGGATAGTTTTGGACCTTAAGGCCCAATGGGCTTCGAACGTCAAGCCCATTAACTTAAGTTGTATGACAATTTAATGAATAAAGATTCATTAAAGCCCAAAAGCCCAAAATCCCTAAATGGCCGGCCATAGTGTGATGAATTAGGGTTTTGGTTCTTTAGGTCACTTAAAGAAGTGACTATATAAATGACTTTATAGCCAAAATATTCATTAAAGGATTAAAAGGGTTTATTTTGGGGAAAAATTGGTGAGAATTGTCTCTCCATTTTCTCTCTAAAGAGGCCAACACCTTGGAGGGTACATCTAGCAATCCTACTACTCCAAGGTCACTCATTTCTTCTACAATCTAACCTTGGTGAAGAGACTTAGAGGTTCTCAATTTTGGGAACTTGGAGAACCTATTCTTCCATCCAAATCCATGGATCTAAGAAGCAAGGAATGAAGGCCCCTATCTCTTTGGGTGATTAGCCTTTGCTTATGCAAAGAGGAATCTACAAAGGTATTAATTTCAACTCACTTTGTTTTGAGTTGATTATTGGTTCACCAATCTACTAGGCTTTGAATTTCATGGTAATGTTTTGTTTTTTAGTGCATACAAGCATGATTCCGCCTTTAATTGTTAATTGCATGCTATATGATGTTGCTCAAATGAACATGTTTTCAAAATAATTCCTTCATTGACCACGGGACTAACCGTTTCATCATAATCAAAACCATATTGTTGATGATAACCGTTAGCCATTAACCCAGCCTTGTAATGCTCAATGGAACCATTGGCAAGTCTTTTTATTTTGAAAACCCATTTGCAACCAACCAGGTTCTGAGAAGAATGGGGAGGCACCAAATTCCACATTTGATTTTTCAACAAGGCATTGAGTTCATTAGCCATAGCAGCACGCTGATGAGTAGATTTTATATTATATATTTTACTCTAATCTTAGTATATTTTGGTTAATATATTGGAAGAATTTTGATACTTTGAATTGTATTTTCAATATAGGACTTTCGACTTCTTCTGGAGTAAATCAGGATCAAATGGACGAATTTTGGAGTAATTCTAGTTGGAGGACGTTCGTGAGTCACTTAGCTTGATCGTTTCAAAATCTGGGATTTTTCCACCAAGCGGTTATTTTCTGGCGATAAAATAAATGAGCAATGCGCAGTGTTGGAAAATGACATGTATGGGCTTAAATTACGTTTTTGGAGCCCAAGATGACCTTGGATGGGTTCATGGCCTTCTGGAGAAGTGTTCAGAATATTCCAAACATTAAATCCAGCTATATTGGGCTAGTTTTGGAGCAGCTTATGGGTCCAAAACGTGGTTGTTCAAATTTTAGGCGAATTTTACCATTTAATTTAGGATTATGTTTACTATTTTATTTAATTATTATTTTTAGTTTCCTAGGGGGAATAAAGGACCTTTTTTTAGGGTTTGTGTGGGGGCTTGGAAGATTTATTGCTTGGCCGTCTACCATATTTCTCAACGCTTTCTTTTATGCAATTTTGAAGACAGAGAGAATTGGTAGGGTTTTGGAGATTTTCTACTTGAAGGTGCTTTCAATCCTTTTCTTAATTATATTTTCTATGATTTTAATTATGAATATGCGTAACTAATTTCTTTTGTTAGGGTGAAGCCTTGAGCCTTAGCATGAATATGTGATTTTTATTTAATTGCTTATGATTGATTGCATGCATACTTTGAATTGTTAATCACCGGGATAAAAAACTATCTAATTGTCTTAATGCCTGATCACCATTAGGACCTTTAGAAAAGTAATTTGATGCAGTTTTGGTCGGAAGGTTCCCTGAAATTGACGTAGGCTTCTTGTGATTAATAATTGTAATTTCACTTAGGATGAACACCACGTCTTAAGGATTGCATGGTTTTTCAAAAGATTTTCATAAAGCATAATGCGTATTTCATGTTCAGATTTGATCCGAACGTCCGGACGGATTGCATGTTAGATATATGTTCTATGTTGGAGGTTCCAAGTAGAATATGAATTAGGAAAATCTAACATTCAAAGTGACATGTGTAGATCATAAGTAATCGGTAAAAGTTCATAGGATTGCTAGGTGATGGTGGAGCCCTAGTGCTTTCTTAATTTGATTTCTCCCAAAACTGTTTTCTTTTCCTTCTAGTTTTCAATATTGCAGATTGTTTACTTTAATTAATTAATTTCGTTTTTATTTTAAGTAGGTTATAAAATCAATCACCTCAATTTCTATTTTACAATAATTAATTGGAATTTGGTTAGTTTCGAATTATTTAATAATCCATGTGGAGAACGACCTTGCAAGATCCGTTTATACTACAACAACCTTGTGATTCTTGCAAGTATTATAGGAATTTTTATCGCATTCACATGAGTAGTAAAATCCCTATCAAGAAAATGACGCCGTTGCCGGGGATTATTTAAAATAATCCCTACCAATCAGATTTTCAATTAGTTATTGCTGTTTATATATATAAAAAAAATTATTTAATTTTCTATTTTATTTTATTTTTCACATATTACAGCAGTACAGTGCAGATTACAATTATAATTTGTGCATGGTCAGCACCCGTTCAACAGTGCAGAAATTGTTTCCTTTTGATCTAGAACTCAAGCAGACTTTAAGGGGACGCAAGGAGAAAAATTCGCAATGGGTTCCTCCTCTGCAGGGAACTTTTCTGCAGTCTTCAATTTCTGGGAATCTGCACAGTAAAGGAAAAATGGTATTCGTTATTCCAGAGGCGGGTCAGCCTTTGGGTGATTCTTTAACAGCCCATACCATAAATATACCAGGTTGCATTACTTATCCAGCAGTAGAGGAAGGGTCTACATTTGAAATAAAGCAGCACATGGTTGAATATTGGGTAAATTACAAAGTAGCCCCTTAGGTTTGAGGTCTATTACAACCTCATACAACAACTTTAAAACATTTCACTTTCATACCTCCAGTACCATTTTATTTCAAAATAACACCTCCGTTAGATTTTCCATCCATTAGTCTGTTAAATGATGACATGGCTGCCACATTTGTGCTGATGTGGCTGCCAAATGTGTGCCACGTGGCAAAAAAAAAAATTTTAATTTTTTTTATAAAAAACCTAAATCTTCTAAATAAATTATAAAACCAAAAAAAAAAAAATCAAAATAAAAAACCATACAAACCCAGAAACCCCCCGACCCACTTCTCCATCTCCTCCTTCTTCACCCTCCCATCCCATATCCCCGCAACACCCCTCCAACCACCAAAAACAAACCCAGATCTTTTTTCCCCCACCCCCCACCTCACAGAAACTTCATTCCTCTTCCTCACCCCCTCATCCTCCTCTATTCTCCCTCATATTCATCTTCTTCCCACTGCAACCCAGCCCACCCCACCCCCACCTTCCCTGAGCGCACCCGCACCCACCCCATTTCCCCGCAACCCCTCTTTCCTCTCTCTCTACACACAGAGCTATCAACCAACAACAATGGGAATCTCAGTCCCCAGCTTTTTCAAAGAGCGAAAGTTCTCTTTCATTTTCACACTCTTACTCCCACTCGCCTGCATCACCATCCTCCTCTTCACCAAGACCACCACCAACGCCCATTACCCTCTCTTCTTTTACTCTGATCTCCAGACCTCCCCCTCCTCCTCCCAACCCATCTCTCCTCCCGCGCCCTTCAACCCTGCCGGAGAGCCACCCCAAGGGGACGAACTCGTTTGGGAGGAACCCATTTTCCCTGTTTTTGGGATTCCTAATTGGAACCTCTGTACGGGTCTGGTGGCCGTCGATTACATTCCGTGCTTGGACAATTCCGAGGCGATCAAGGCGTTGAAGTCGCGCCGGCATATGGAGCACCGCGAGCGGCATTACCCCCAAGCGCCCCCGCGATGCCGGTTCCGTGGCCTCAGAGCAGGGACATGGTGAGATTTGTTCTTTGGTAAGATTTGTTTCTGGTTTTTCTCAAATGGGTTTTGTTGATTTGATTCAAAAAGGTGGGTGATTTGGTTTGTTCTTGGATTTTCTCAAAGGGGTTTGTTGATTTGAATGAAGAAGATGGGTGATTCCATTCGTTGTTGGATTTGATACTTGAAGCAGTTGGCTTTGAATTTAATTTTCCGAGAAAAAAAAATCATGATTTTCCTTTATGGGAAAGTGTTTGTGGAAGTGTGAAGTGGTTGTTGGCTTATTCTGTTTACTTTCACTCAATAATGTATTGGTGATGTTCTCTGTTTCTAGATATGGTATGACAATGTTCCTCACCCGAAGCTCGTCGAGTACAAGAAGGACCAAAACTGGATGAAGAATTCCGATGACTATCTTCATCTTCATCTTCTTCCCCCGCAACCCAGAAAAAAAATACACCCATTCAGTTCGTCTTCCCCCCTTCCTCCTCCTCTCTCTTCTCCCCTATCTTCATCTTCTTCCCCCGACCCCTACCTGCAACCTAGAAAAAAAAAAAACCTAGATCCCGTCCTCCATCGTCGGGTTCGTGAGGTGAAAATGAAAGGAATGGGTGTGGATTTAAGTAGTGGGGTGTGTAGAGGAGGGAAGAGGGTGGGTGCGGGTGCGCTCGGGGAAGGTGGGGGTGGGGTGGGCTGGGTTGCAGTGGGAAGAAGATGAATATGAGGGAGAAGAGAGGAGGAGGAGGGGGTGAGGAAGAGGAATGAAGTTTCTGTGAGGTGGGGGGTGGGGGAAAAAAGATCTGGGTTTGTTTTTGGTGGTTGGGGGGGTGTTGCGGGGATATGGGATGGGAGGGTGAAGAGGGAGGAGATGGAGAAGTGGGTCGGGGGGTTTTTGGGTTTGTATGGTTTTTTATTTTGATTTTTTTTTATTTTTTTTGGTTTTATAATTTATTTAGAAGATTTAGGTTTTTTATAAAAAAAATTAAAAAATTATTTTTTTTGCCACATGGCACACATTTGGCAGCCACATCAGCACAAATGTGGCAGCCACGTCAGCATTTAACAGACTAATGGATGAAAAATCTAACGGAGGTGTTATTTTGAAATAAAATGGTACTGGAGGTATGAAAGTGAAATGTTTTAAAGTTGTTGTATGAGGTTGTAATAGACCTCAAACCTGAGGGGCTACTATGTAATTTACCCTTGAATATTCTACCTACATTTCATGGGTTATCATTTGACGATCCAAGCATGCATATTGCAGAATTTTTAATGGGTTGCAAAAATATTTTGGTAAGAGGATTTTCAGCCGAATCTATTAAGCTCTGTTTGTTTCCATACACTCTAAAAGATCAAGCAAAGAGATGGCTCATCACACTCCCATCAGGAAGCATAAGTACTTGGGCCCAACACAGTGAAAAATTTTTAAACAAGTATTATCCAGCTTCAAAAACTCTTGACATGAGAACTTAGATTTTATCTTTTGCCTAAAAACCAAATGAAGAGTTTCATAAGGTGTGAGAGCGGTTCAAGGAGTTGATTAGAAAATGTCCACATTCGGGTATTAACAATACTGATTAGATGCATATATTTTTCAGAGGGTTGAATATGACTACAAAAACTCTTGTCAACGCTTCATGCGGAGGTTCGTACAAAGATAAAAATGCACAAGAGGCTTGTTTGTTATTTGAAAAAATGGCAGCGGATACACAACAGTGAGAGATGTCTAACGGCTCTCCATATGTTACAACACAAATTGAAAAAATGGAGAAAAAGCTTGATGCAAAATTTGACATGTTATTACAAAGAATACCAGGTTCACAGGTTGCTGTATAGCAGCCCTTACAAGCTGCCTGCAGCATTTGCAACATGATAACTCGTGATTTTATAAGCTGCCCACATAAGGATGTTTGTCCAGATTTTACAGCAGAGCAGGTTAACGCATTTAACAATTTCCAGCGTCCCAAATATGACCCGTATTCAAATTTCTACAACCCAGGTTGGAGAGATCATCCTAATTTAAAGTGAGACAAAGATCAGCACTCTAGGGCCTCAAGTTCAACAATAAGTACAACAACCTGTTGCACCTAAGGCTACTTGGGAGTTTACAATTGAAAAATTAGCGAATACGAGCACTCAAGAAATCCAAAATCTACGGGCAGCAATGAAAAACATGGAAAAACAAATGGGGCAGATTGCTTTGCAGGTTTCAGAAAGGGCACCGGGTACATTTCCCAGCCAAATCGAACCAAATCCAAGATGAGGTGCAGATTGTAAGGCAATTAGAGTTTTACGTTCTGGAAATTTTTTTGATAATAGACGTGAAAATTGTGTTCGAAATTCGCAGGTGGAATCACAGGCAACTACAGATTCGAAAAATGTTAAAGAATCTGATAATTTGAAAGATTCTGCACAGCCCTTAAACAGTTCCGAAAAAGGGTGCAAATATTGTTGTGGAACGTGTTTATGACCCACCTATGCCTTATCCCGAACGGTTGAAGCCTAAAGTTAAAGATCAACAATTAACAAATTTTATGAAGACTTTGTCTAAGGTTCAGATTAATCTACCGTTAATTGATGCCATCAAGAACATTCCATCTTATGCCAAGTTTTTTAAGGATGTTTGCAGAAAGAAAAAGAAGCTAGTTGATTTTGAGAAAGTGATTCTTAAAGAACAATGCAGCGCTGTTCTACTACACAAGTTGCCCCCAAAGAAACAAGATCCAGGGAGTTTTACAATTTCATGCACAATTGGAAATTCTAATTTTAAACGTGCTTTAATTGATTTAGGTGCTAGTATTAATTTAATGCCTTTTTCTGTTTTTCAGAGACTGGACAAGGTGAAATCAAGCCTACATCAGTTATTCTACAACTAGCGGACCGTTCAGTTGCTTATCCTAGGGGAATTATTGAAGACCTAATTATTAAAGTGGATAATCTCTATCTTCCTGTAGATTTTGTGATTTGGATATGGATGAAGATATGCAAACACCAATTATTTTGGGACGTCCTTTCATGGCAGCTGCTCGAGCGTTAATTGATGTAGAGGCTGGAACACTTACACTTAGAGTGCAAGATCAATCTGTTGTGTTCAGTTTATTTGAAGCTACCAACAAGCCAGGTGATGTGCAAGATTGTATGCGTGTTGACGTGCTTAACAGTTTATTACATGCTGATATTATGCCACGTTTGACATCTGATCCATTGTTAATTGTGTTGCATGGGTTTGAGAATAAAAATACAGAAGATGAAGAGGTTTTTTAGTATGTTTCAGCTTTGGAAAGTGTTCCTTTTCAACCCGTCCCCCCGTTGGAGGCACGTTTTTTAGAGTTTGGGGGAACCTAAAAAACTGTTGCAGCCTTCTAAGGTACATCCACCTAAATTGGAGTTAAAAGTGCTTCCAGAACACTTGAAATATGCTTATTTGGGTGCAGATTCTTCGCTACCAGTTATTATTGCTGCTGATTTATCATCAACAGAAGAAGATAAATTGTTACGCATTTTAAGGAGTTATCAACATGCAATTGGTTACTACATCCAGCTAAATTGGGTTAAAGTGCTTTCCAGAAAAGCGTTCTGATTACATGAAGAAAGAATGCTTACTTTGGTGGTGCAGATTCTTGCCCGCCCTTACCAGTTTATTATTGCTGATAACTGATTCCAATCATCACAATCACTTGATTCCTTTGGGATACAATTCTTCACAGAACACGCATTTTAAGGGTTTAACCCGGGTTGTGATTGGTTGGACTATAGTAGACATTTAAGAGATCAGACGTTTTATGAATTTTGTGTTAAGGTGGTAAGACTGCTTTCGTGCATGGGGTGGTTCGTTTGTCCAATGGAAATGCTTCTGATTGAATTGGTTTGAATGCTTTAGATTTTGCCATAAATGGAAAATAATTATATATTAATTGTCCCAAGGATTAGTTCCAATCAATGGTCTCAAACTTATTTCATTACAGTTGTTGGAATGATAATTCACGAGAGGATGAATCTGGAAATTGCGCAATCCCGTGCTAGAATAATAATGATTGCTATAAAAAGTTGGTTTCCATTGCCATTTATTGGAAATGTTCTTCCAAGGTTCGACACAACTTATTGATTACATTGTTTTTGGTATTGGTACATAGGGGATCTCAAAGTATTTAGTTCGATACCAGATTGAATCAGCTATGAGGGATGAAAAGTAGGGATCATGTAGTTGAGGTTATTTATGGAGGGAAAATTTTTGGCTATGTTTATTTGAAACTAATTTAAAATATACAACCGGTTTAAAAAATAAACAAAAGAGATGTTTAAACAAGAAAGTAAAAGGGGATTTAGAGAGTTTGGTGAATTGAAAATTAAAAACAAAACTAAAAGGCTTAAATTAGAGTTTTTAAACAATTTTGGTTGAATTTGTTGAAAGTTAATATAAGGCATAGCTAAGGGGTTTTTATGAGGCTTGCTTGAATACAAAATGATTTCCAATGCATTTCAATAATTTCAATAACTTATTAACCGTGATTTCTAAGCCACAAGTTATTGGGTTTGATGAAACGAAAACCGTACAAAGAATGCGAGATAAAGCAAGAATCATTACCCTATGAAAAAACATTTGATCCACTTAGAAATTGATTTTTGCAGAAACATATATGCCAAGGGTGTTACTTTACACAAGGTTGCGACTTACGACCAAGTTCTACATCAAAATCATTTACCCTCATCACTCTGCATTGCATAATGAGCGACTTATCAAATCATTAAGTAAATCGAATTCTAAACGAAGTTCAGCATTTGACGAATCCCCTTATCTTTAGCTATTTACAATTTATTTATGCAAAGCAACCTAACGTATGCATTCCTAACACAACCTACAAAACAGGAATGTTTAATACTCAGAAGTAAATCATAATTCTCGAATTTAATTAGGTGAAATTATGCTTGGATACAATGTTTTTCTAAATTATATGAAAAGATTGCATGCTAAAACTGAAGGGTCATCACTTTAAACAGCTAAAGCATTGCATTCCACATACATTAAGATAAATGAGTTTAAGAATTGCATCATTAATTTATACCATTTAAGCCTGGTGCAAGGCATTGAAGTAAAGCACGGCAAACCTGTTTTTTGGTGAAGTTGCAAAATTTCCTTCTGAAGGAAGTTAGCAATTTGATGTGTTTATTTGAACTTGTATTTTTTTCCCTTACAGGCAGTATTTTTAGCATGTTCTTAGCCTCTTTTCTTCATCATTCGTCCATCCATCTTGCTCAAATATCATATGTAATCCATTCCAAGCTCAAAACTGCTCCAAATGCACTTTCTGCTACCTTAGCCCTTTGGACCTACAAACACACGAAATGCTTAAAGTAACTAAAAATAACTAAAAGAACTAATAAACTTTAATTGCAATCTTTAAAATTTAGTAATTGGTAGTCTTTTGATAATGTCTATCAATTAAGCCTCAGCATCTTTTGCAGTGAAACACTAATTGGAGCTTT